GTGCCCACGACCTGGGTGCATCTGGCGCACCACGTGACGGTCGCGGCCTCGTGGATTGGCGTGGCGGTGTTCGTCCCTGGCCAGTTGCCGTCGCTGGCGCTGACGTTCGGCATGTTCCTGTACGCCGACGCATACTCTGCCGTGCTCCATGCGTTTTTCGACAAGCCGGAGCCTGCCTTACTGATCATGCGATCCCCACCCAAAGCATGCAGAATCAATCTTCCAGGGGCCGCAGCCGCACTAGGTGGGAACAGGCTCCGGGGGGGAAACATCGACCCCCAATCGCCCATGGATTGTCGACAGGGGCCCGATAGTCCACCCCGTCCAGGACAGTGCGCTTTCGCTATCGAGGGCCTGTCGCCGATGTAACGGCGATGTATCGCCGATTCCTGGTCGATGTTCTCTCCCTGAGCTGGTCCCCCCACGCAACGTCGCTCTTCAGTTTGAAGAGTGATAAGATCGGCGGGCCGGATCGGCCCCAGCCCCCGACGGGGGCGGGTTCCAAAGAAATTCGTCAGATGTGGATCGGGCTGGACGGAAGGGGCGCCACGAAATCTGTTGCATGTGCTGATTTCGGCCCTGCCAAGGGGCCCATTCCTCAACACATGGGCGCCTCCCGGCGACAGAAGGCGCCAAGAAAACCAGCTACGTGAGCTGCTTCTCGACCCTACCTTCTGCTATCCTACCGTTTTTCCCCCCCGAGTTGATCGAACCCTTACCCCGCCAAGTCGATCGGCGAATTGCCCTCTCTCGATTCGAGAGAGCGTTGGCGGCCGCAGTTTTTGCGGGGCCGTGCCCGCCGGGTCTGGTCTCTGGTCGTTTTCGCAGGGTGTTTCCCGTAAAGGGCATCGGCCCAGGGTTATCTGTCAACCTGTCTTTGGTCCTCAACTTTCGTAGGGCCAGCGATTCCCATCCGATGAAAAACATTGTTAAGTCACAGCTTGACTTGAAAGAGTGAATTTTGCTCTTGCCCGCTTAAAGAAAACGTGCCCCCCCATGTCCGATCCTCTATGGATATCGGGGTCCGCAGACTCCCGCTTCCTGTGCGCAAAAGGGTGCGAAGCGTTTTGCGCAGAATCCTCGTGAGGGTTGCTTTGAAATTCGAAGAACACTTGCAAGAAAATTAACGAAAGGTGACTTTACGCGTGTCCGCACGAGAATGGTGCATCCTGCCCACATAATCTGTTTCGAGGATGTCTTGAGCGACGCGCCTGTTTTGAAGAAGCGCCTCAGGTTGCCCCGGTGGATATCTACTATAGAGATTTGCCAGGGATGTCTACAGCGACGTTGCCTGCTTTTATATGGGTTCGTTTTAGCCGTGAGCTCAAACCGTGTGTCTTTACCTTGGTTCCTGCCGGCCTTGAGCCAAAACCATATGTGTTTGCATGGGTCATTGCCGCCCGTAAGCTCAAGCCATGTGTGCTTACACGGGCTCCTTTCGCCCGTGGGCCAAAAACATGTTTTACATGGGTGCCTTTCGTTTGTGAATTACATGGGATCCTTTCGCCCATGAACCCAACCACAGGAAGCTCCGCGAGGCCCCAGGACTCCAGGAGACCCCAGGAGGTCCCAGGAGGTCCCTGCCTAGCGGAAGGCTGACGCCACGGGGGAAAACGCCGAAGAGTTTGCGGACCAACATGCCCAGCGACTTTCGGGTTCCCTTCACGGAGAGAACGCGCGGGCGGTGTTGGGGCACTTCAAGACGCAGTCTGGAGGGGCGGGGGTGGCAGCGGCCCGCCTGGCCGCGACCACGGTTGCCTCCACGGCGGACGCTGTATGAGGCGTCCCTGGCGCTGCCTAGCGCCTCCCGCCCCCCCCCCCCCGCCCTGGCTGGGCAGCACGGGCGCCCCCCGCGCCCTGGATCCGCCAACGTCGTGCTGGCGGTTCGCCCCCCTTCACACACGCCGTCCAGCCCTTCCCGGCGGGGCGGTGGGTGAGCCCGCAGAGGGCTCCACCCAGCAAGCCGCAAGGTGCTGGGTTCGGTCGGCCACTCCACGGCGTTCCCCGACGACCTCGACGGCCCTTTTCGACGACTGCAAACGACCCCCCCCCGCGAGGCCCACCGCCCAGTCCACCGGTGCGCTTGCGCTGCCTGGCTGTCGTCGCCGCCGTAGGGTCCGTAGCCTCGTCGCGGGTGGCTCTTCTCTTCCGGCTCCTGGCGTTTCTGATTGCGGTTGTTTTGCCTCTCCTCCATTTCCTTGCGTCCCTCCCTTCCCGCCTGCCCCCAGCCTGCCGTCTTCGCCCGGCCCCATTTCCGCCTGCCCAGCCGCTCCGCCGCCCCTGGCCTCCCGCCTGCGCGTCCACCGTCGTCGGCCTGCTTCTCCCCTCCTCTTCCCCCTCCGCCGGGCAGCACAGCCTGCCTTGGACCAGCGCGGCGGCGCATAGGGCTCCGCTGTACATCGGGATAACCGTAGGGTTCGAGAGGGAGTTTGTTCCATCCTCGTGGATAACCCAGGAAGCCCCAGGTGGCCGCAAGAGCTCAAACCGTGTGTTGTTACAGGGGGTCTCCCTCTCGCCCGTGGGCCGAAACCGTGTGTTTTACAAGGGGGCCTGTTTCGCCCGTGAGCCCAAGCCATGTGTTTTTACATGCGCCCTCGTCGCCCGTGAGCCGAAGCCATGTGTTTTTATTCGGGGTCCTTTCGCCAGTGGGCCAAAAACATGTGTGCTTACATGATTTTGTTCAGCCCGTGTACTCAAACTTGTTTTGATTTCACATGGGTTCCTGACGCCCGTGGGCCGAAAGCATGTGTGTTGACATGGGTACCTTTCGCCAGTCAGCTCAAGCCATGTGTGTTTACTTTGGTCCCTTCCGACCGCGAGCCGAAACCATATGTTTTAACATGGGATAATTATACCAGTTTACAGAAACCGTGTGTTGACATGGGTTCCCTTTCGCCCGTGAGTTTCAAGTCGTGCGTGTGTGTTCACATGGGTTACTTTCGCCCGCGGGCCAAAGCCATGTGTTCTTAGATGGGTGCCTTTCGTCCGCTAGTGCAAACCATGTGTGGTACATGGTTCTGTTTGCCAGTGAGCCCAACCCTAGGAAGCTTTGGGGGGGGCCCAGGAGGCCAGGCTGAGGAGGGCGCAGGAGGGCCCACGAGGCCTCAGGCTGGCCCAGGAGGCCCCAGGTGTCCCCAAAGCCCAAACCAGATTTCGTTACATGAGTTCCTTGCGCCCGTGAGCCAACACCAAGTGTTTCTACATGGGTTTCCTTCGCCCGCGAGTTCAAATTATCTGTTATTCCATGGGTTTCTTTCGCCCTTGAGCCGAAACCACGAGTTTTTGTTAAATGCTTCCTTTCGCCCGCTAGCCCAAACAATGTGTGCTCACATGGATTCCATTCGCCCGTGAGCTCAAGCGATGCGTTGTTTCATTGGTTTTGCTCGCCCGTGGGCCGAAACCATGTGTTTCTTTGACATGGTTCCCTGTCACCCGTGCGCTGAAACCGCAAGTTTTACGACCGTGAACCAAAGACGTTATTGTAGTGGCTTTCGGCCAGTGCCGCCGATCCGGGTCGCTTGGGGTGCCCCTCAGACTGGGCGGCGACTATTCGCCGACAGACACGCACGCACACGCTCGCAGACATTACGCGCGCACGCGCACACACACACGCACGCACGCACGCACGCACGCACGCGCATACACGCACACGCACTCACATTACACACGCCCACGGACACACACACACACACACTCCACTCACACACGCGCGCCACCTCCGCCGGCCCATACACACGCACACGCCGGCAACACACACACATACACACACACACCACGCACACCGCGCAAACACACACACATCACATAACAGTCACGCATTTCACCGCCGCCTTCGTCTTCCCCCTCCATTTGTTCTCCGTTTTCCGCTCTTGTCCCGTTCCACTGCTCATCCCCTCTTTCACCGATTCCCTTCTCGCGTACACGGACAAACATTACCCCGCGCACGCGCGCGCACACCCCCCTTCTCCTTCTTCCCCGGCAGAGCCACCCTGGCAACCCCCCCAGAGGCTGAATCTCAGCCTCAAGGCTGTAGCTGAGGCTCCTATAAACTCACGCGCCACGGAACCCCCCTCGCCCCTCCCCCACGCCCTCGGAACCCACGCCACTGGACCCCCCCCTCCCCGCTTTCCCCACTTCCCCTTGTCCACAGGCGGCACGGGGAACGGGACGCCCCCCCCCCCCGTCCGCGCCACCGGAACCCATGAAACCGGCTGCCCCCCCCTCCCTACCCCGGACAAAGCCACCCTGGCCACCGGGTGCACCCCCTTCTTCCCCCTATTCCCCTTGTCCACAGGCGGAACGGGGGACCAGACTCCCCCCCCCCCGCCCACGTCACCGGGACCCACGCCACCGGCTTCCCGCCCCCCCCCCTACCCAGGCAAAGCCACCCCGGTCACCCCCTCCCCATTAAACTCACACGCCGGGTCGGTGGATTCTACATGGGCTCCAGTCGCCAATGGGCCGAAACCATGCGCGCTTACGTACACGGGTTCCTGAGGAGGAGGAGGCGGAGGAGCATGGAGCATGACGAGCAGGAGGGGTAGGAGGAAGAGAGGAAAGAAGGGGGGGCCTTGCGACCGCCAGGGGCCCCAGCGCTGCCATGGCCAGATTCGGTTCGGAGAGCCAGCCAGGGCGAAGCCCGCTAGGCTCGCCGGCGTTCGGTTCTGAAAGCGAGCGTGGCGGGTGGCTGTAGGCCTCCCACATAGGGTCCGAGCAGATGGGGTCGGAGGATCGCTCCGCATCGCCGATGCATCGGCGATGCGGCTCGATGTGGAGCCCGATTTTCCCCACGCCGACGGCGCCGATGCATCGCCGACGTCGCCAGAGCATCGGCGATACATCGGCGATGCGGTGCAACCCTCCGACCCCATCTACTCCGACTCGATCTAGGGTCTAGGAGGCCTCGAGTGGTGAGGGGGGTATGAGGCAAACAGGACAGGGATATATATATATATATATAGAGAGAGAGAGAGAGAAAAAAAAAAGAAACAAAAAAAAAACAAGAGAGAGAGAGAGAGAGAAATAGTAAATGAGAGGACGGGCAAGGAGGACGAGGAGGTCGAAAACGGAGAAGGGGGGAGCGAGACTCCTCCTCTGAAGTCCGTCCAAGATCGTTCCTGGACTCCTCGCGGGGCCCACCCTAACAAATGTTCTATCATAGATCAGTTCCTAACGTGAACAAATATATGGTGAGTGTTTATCCCCCCCCACCCCTTCATCCGAGGGCGGGGGGCAATAGAGAGAGGGGGGGAACATGGGACCCAACACCCTGCCCGTGCCACCTCCAGGAGGCGTTGAGCTTGCCGGCTCTGGGCCACTCGGCGCAGGGTTTCCAGATGCATCACGACCACCCCATTGCGTCCACGAGAGATCAAGGCCTGTACTGCCTCGTCGCCCTCCTCCTCCTTGTCAATTTCCTCATCTTCCTCCCGTCAGCCTCCTCTTCGCGTTTCTCCTCCACCTCTTCTTCATCCTCTTCCATCCTTTTCCCTTATACCTAATGCCTCCCTGTTTCACCCCTGAACAACTCGGAAGGGCGGGCAGGGCGTTTCGCTTGAGGCTTCCTCAGCATGTACGAGTAATGAATCTGGAAATTCGTAGCAGTTTCACGGATGTAAGGCGGGTCGTTTTCAAAATGTGGTTCTCGCCTCACCGCCACGCACATTTGTTGCAACAATTGCAACCATTTCGCGGGTGGAGGGCGGGCCGTTTTCAAAATGCAGTTCTCGCCTAAGCGCCGCGCGCGTTCGCCCCAGACGCTTGCAACCGCTTCGCGTATGGAAGGCGGTTCTTTTTCAAAATATGGCTCTCGCGTTAGCGCCGCGCAGATTCGTTGCACCTTCTTCAAGGGTTAACATGACGGAAGTCCGTGGGATTGTGGTCTGGCACGACTTAGGATTGCCAGGACGAAACAGTCACGTTGATTCACGGCGTCGAAGGCCCAGGATTTCCGATCAGGTACACTTGATAATTCTCAGGCGATTGTCTTCCACTGGGGCACTTCCCGCGATGTTCTTGTAGGGCCCTATGAAGAGGGAATGTGGAGGGAGGGTGCATTGCAACATCATTGATGCGCCTTTGGTTTACAATGGTCCTCCCCTTTCTCCTCCTCCTCCTCCTCCTCCTCCTCTATCGCCCTCCTCCTCCTCCTTCTCCTCCTCCTCCTTCTCTCTCGCCCTCCTTCTCCCTTCCCCATCTCCCTCGCCCTCCTCCCCTTCCTCCTGGCGAAGGCCTGTATCGCCTCTTCAGCGACACGGTGAAGATCCAGTGGATCACCGGCTCGTGCGCCCTGATGTTCGCCAGCCACACGGCTTTGACTTTGCGCGTCGTCGCCCTCAAGTGGGCGATGTGCGCGTACGGAACTCAGCTGGCGCATTATTGGTCGCATTCCCCCCCTTCCGAACGGCCGCTCTACGTTAGAGTTCTGCAGAGGTGTCACATCTTGCTTCCACAGCAGCACCACCGTGTTCATCACCAGCCCCCCTACAACAGGAACTTCGGCATCGTCAGCGGCCTGTGTAATCCGCTGCTTGATCCCATGCTCCGTGGTATGCCGTTCAGGCTACTATTTGCGCTATGGACGGTTCTGACTTTATTCGATGTCACTATCATCCAAGTTATTCTCTGTAGATTGCCGTTTGCGTGAGTAATTGGGTTGACGCAATTATGCCGACTCTCTGGGTGTCGACGGCATCCGAGATACGTAATTTGGGAGGATCATGTTTGCCCAGCCTACCTTCGCCACCTGGTGCTGGCTCCAAGGAACAGTGGTTGGAAGGACAGCCCACAAGCCCCCCCCTTTGTTCTGTATCCCCTTCCTCTCCCCAGACCTCCCACGACTCGATGTTGTTCAATTCGCGAGTCACTGGAGCTCTCGACCCCCTCCCCAGGACTGTTTTTTCCTGCCTTGGCTCAGTTTGAGACGGCCCTGGAAACAGGAAGCAGCCCCCAGAAGCCGAGATGACAAATATTGTCGTGTCGGGGCTTGATGCTTGTCGTATCGGCAGGGGTGGGCTCATCCTCTTCTGGCTCCCCCTTCTCCTCCGCAAGGAGCACCGAGCGTCACCAGGCCTCCGACAAGCACCGGCCAGAGGGGCAGAGCCAGTGACGCTCCCACGCTCGTCGTGGGCAGTTCCGCGCCTCACTGGAATCATTGCTCGAGCCTGACTGTAGCACCGTGGTGCTTTGGTGTCTTCCAGGTTCCTCTTTCTTCTCCCCATCCTGCTCCTCCTCCTCCTCCTCCTCCTCCTCCTCTCCTCCTCTTCCTCCTCCTCTTCCTCCTCCATCATCGCCTGACCCCCTCTAGCCACGAAAAAACACACACAACAAAAATGTATTTGGCATTTCTTTCCCCAAAAAGGGCCTGAGCCAAAGGTTTGCTCTTGTGAGTAACTGTGCCGGCCCTCAACTTGCGTAGAACCGGCGAATGAGTTTCCGGATGCATATCGAGGCCGCCTTTTGGCGAGTGGGAAATCTTCAGAGCATCTTTAGCGAAATGCTTGTGTTACATAATTGGTTGACTACGTTTCTGGCGAAACGCTTGTTCTGCAGACGTTGAGTACGTCTCAAGCGAAACGCTTGTTCCGCATAATGTGTCAAGGATGTCTCTGGCGAAACGCGTGCTTTCACCTGTCCAGGCCACCCAGAGGGGATTATTCGCTCGTGAGCTGAAACCATATGTTTTTACATTGGTTCCTATCTTCTGTGAGGTCAGACCGTATGGTTTTACATGGGTTCCTTTCGCCCGTGAGTCAGACCAATGTGTGTTTACATGGGTTCGATTCGCTCGTGAGCAATTATCTGAGGATGTCTCGAGCGAGGGCTTCATTCGTCAGTGACTTCAGCGGAAGTCTCGAGCAGGGTCCCCGCCTTGTGGAGTTCCAGTAGGACGACGAGGAGGAGGAGGAGGAGGAGGAGGAGGAGGAGGAGGAGGACCAGGAGGACCAGGAGGGCCAGGAGGGCCAGGAGGACCAGGAGGAGGAGCAGGAGGAAACATCTGTTTTTCTAACGCTCCCTTGATTGGGTACTCTTCTCCTCCCCCGCCCCGTCCCTTCTTCCTCCTCTCCCTCTCTCCTCCCGCTTGCGTCCAGCCTCGTGCCCGCGGCTCGCTCGGGTGTCGTCACTTGCGCAGCGGAGGTGCCGTGAGCTCCTGGGAGGCCCAGCGGAGGTGCGTCTTACGCAGATCACAATGAGACCTCGCTTTCCCTTGGGGTGCTGCGATCTGCGACATTGTCGCCGCTTTCGTGGGCTCCTGGGAGTCCCAGCGGAGGTGCACCTTACGCAGATCACCGCGAGACTTCGCCTTCCTTTGGGGGGCTGCGATCTGCGAAGCTATCGCCAGTTTGTGGGCTCCTGGGAGGTCCAGCGGAGGTGCGTCTTACACCAGGACCAGGGCTGGACCTAAACGGTGTTTTCGCGATTTCGTGGGCCGTTTTCGTTTCGATTTCGTTTTGCGTTAAAGGCGGAGTGAAGACAAACCGGGGGGAAAACGAAAACACAACGAAAGCGAAAAACACCGTTTAGGTTCAGCCCTGTCTTACACAGATCTCCATGAGACCTCGCCGTCCCCTGAGGGGCTGCGATCTGCGAAATGCTTGCCAGTTTTGTGGGAGTCCTGGGAGGCCCAGCGGAGGAGCGTCCTACGCAGATCACCAGGAGGCCTCGCCGACCCATGAGGGGCTGCGATCTGCGAAATCTGAAAAAAAGGTGCTGCTCAGACTCTGGGGCGCCCCCAGACTCTGGGGATTGGGGGTTGCTCCGACTTTGTCTCTCGTTGTCCGACTATGTCTCCTCGCTTCTACCCCCTGCTTCCTTCTCCTGGTCCTCCTTCCTGTTTCTCTTCCGACTCCCTCTTCGCCTGCTTTTCCCAGTCCTGTTCTTCCTGTTCCTCCTCTTCCTCCTCCTCCTCCTCAACCTCCTCCTCCTCCTCCTCCTCCTCCTCGCCCCCAGTGCGCCCAAGAGGCTTCCAAGATGTCCCCATGACGGCCCAGGAGGCCCCAAAGACGGCCCCAATTGGCCTCTAAGACGCCCAAGATGGCCTCCAAGACGGCCCTGAAGCGCCTCAAGAGGACCCCACATCGGTTCAGAGAGGCCCCCAAGACGGCTTCCGACGGCGTCAGACCCGTCAGACGGGCCAGGAACCCTTTAAGACGGCCAAGGAGAGGCCCACAAGACGCCCCCAAGGCCCCCAAGAGGTCCAAGGAGGCCCCCAAGAGGTTTCCAAGAGGCCCCCGGGAAGCCCCCAGGAGGCCCCACAAGAGTGCCCCAAGAGAGTTTCCGGAGCGGCTCGGGGAATACATGATCAGATAGCTTGGCCAAGCTGGGGCCCAACGTTTGGCCACATAGGCGCTTCTCAAAAAGGCTGGGGGCGGCGGTGATTCGCCGTAGGCGTCTTGGATCCGCTGCCCCCTGTGCTTGCCACAGGGGTGGACGGCGTGCCAGACATTTGCTGCTCTTGTTATTTTCAAACCCTTCCCAGTGGCCTTCGGCCCAGACCGCCTGCCCCTCGGAAGGACGAGAAGGTGTGGCCCACATCGCCACCAAGACGGCCCAACTGGCCCAAGATGGTCACCAAGATGCCTCCAAGGCGGCTAGGATTGCCCCAAGAGAGCCCAAGATGGCCCCAATATGTCTCCAAGACGGCCCAAGATGCACCCGAGGCGTTCCAAGATGGCCCCAAGATGGCCCAGGACGGCTCCGAAGGCCCCCAAGAGGCTTCCAATGCAGTTCAAGAAGCCTCCAAGGGGACCTGCAGGAAGGCCCGAAGAGGCAAAGACAGCTGATTGCCCGTGGGCTCTTGACGGATTTTGACGTTTTCGGCCTGCCGACGGCCCAATGCCGCCCAAGAGACCCCCAAGATGGCCCCAAGAGCGCCCAAGAGGCCTCCAAGGCGGCCCCATGACGGCCTCCAGACGGTCCAAGAGGCCCCCAAGGCGCCTCCAAGACGGCCCACGAGAACTCCAAGGCGCCCACGATGGCCTTCAAGACGGCTCCAAAACGTCCAAGACGACAACGATACGATTCGACATAGCCCCAGGATGACACAAGACAGCCCCAGAGGGCCCCGAGGGGATCCAAGGGGCCTCGTAGACAGCCTAGGAAGTCTTCAAGAGGACCTCCAGGAGAGCCCGAAATGCCCAAATGGTTGTATTCCCTTTAATATTGTAGTGGCCTCCGGCCAGTGCCGCCGATCCGGGGCGCTCTGGATGATGAAGATGATGATGATGATGATGATGATGATGATGATGATGATGATGATGATGATGATGATGATGATGATGATGATGATGATGATGATGGTGATGGTGATGATGATGATGATGATGATGATGATGATGATGATGATGATGATGATGATGCAACCCTGTCGCGGTAGAACATGTTTTTGGCGAGCTTGCCCCTCCCACGGCTGGTCGACGCGAAGGAGGAGTAGGGGAGGAGTGGAAGGAGGAGGGAGGGAGGAGGAGGCAGGGGGAGGAGGGAGGAGGGAGGAGGGAGGAGGAGGAAGAGGCGGAGGAGGAGGTGGATGATGATGATGATGATGAAGAAGAAGAAGAAGAAGAGATGATGATGCTGATGATGATGATGATGAAGATGATGATGATGATGATGACGATTATGATGATGATGATGATGATGATGATGATGCTGATGATGATGATGATGGTGGTGGTGGTGGTTGTGATGATGATGATGATGATGATGATGCTGATGATGATGATGGTGATGAAGATGATGATGATGATGATGATGATGATGATGATGATGATGATGATGATGATGATGATGATGATGATGATGATGATGATGATGATGGTGGTGGTGGTGGTGGTGGTGATGATGATGATGATGATGATGATGATGATGGAACCCTGTCGCGGTAGAACATGTTATTGGCGAGCTTCCCCTTCCCTTGGCCTGTCGGCGCGAAGGAGGATGAGGAGGAGGAGGGGAAGGAGGAGGGAGGGGGGAGGAGGGAGGAGGGAGGAGGGAGGAGGGAGGAGAGAGGAGGGAGGAGGGAGGAGGGAGGAGGGAGGAGGAGGATGAGGAGGAAGGAGGAGGAGGAAGAGGCGGAGGAGGAGAGGACCTCCAGGAGAGCCCAAAATGCCCAAATGGTTGTATTCCCTTTAATTGTTGAATAATTTGGGTGCGTTTTCTTTTTCGGCTGTCCGACGGCCCAAGATGTCCACAAGATGGCCCCAAGACGGCCCAATCTGACTTCAAGATGGCCCCAAAAGTGCCCCAAAGGGCGAGGAAACAGTCAAAGAGGAAGAGCAAGAGGAAAGGAAGGAATCAGAGGCCCGAAGCGGCTCCGAGAAGCCTGCAGCTCAGCGCGGGTTCGTCTGCGGACGCGCTTGCCCCCCCCCCCCAGGAAAAACATACCACCCCGAGGCCCCCGGTGATTTTTTGTGGGGCCGCCCTCTCAAGGCCCCACAGCCAGCTTTTGGGTCGAGGAGGAGGAGGGGCAGGAGGACGAGGAGGTGATCAAGAGGAACCAGAGGAGCAGGAGGAGCAGGAGGACGAGGAGGTTGAGCAAGGGGTCAAGGACGGAATGAAAGGCCCGAAGCGGCTCCGAGACTAGACCGCGCTGAGCTGCAAGGTTTTCGGAGCTGCTTAGGGTCTCTCATTTCGTCCTTGCCCCCCTGCTCAACCTCCTCGTCCTCCTGCTCCTCCTTCGCCTCGCTTTCGTCTTGATCAACGTCCTCGTCCTCCTGCTCCTCTTCTTCCTCGACCCAAGAGCCGGCCGTGGGGCCTTGAAAGGGCGGGCCGAATAAAGTCACCAGGGGCCTCGGGCTGATTTGTTTCCTGGGGGGGGCAGAGGCGTCCGCAGACGAACCCGCGCTGAGCTGCAGGCTTCTCGGGGCCGCTGCGGCCAGAAAAAGGCTGCCCTGCAGGCTGTCTCGGAGCCGCTGCGGCCAAAAGAAGGACACTTTGTCGTATGTTTAACTGTTGGGTAGCTTTATCGGCTGATTTCGGGCGCGTCGTCGTCGTGGTGGTCGTCGTTGTCGTCGTCGTCGTCGTGGTCGTCGTCGTCGTCGCCACCATCTTCGTGGTCGTCGTCGGCGTCGTCGTCGTCGCTGTCATCGTCGTCGTCGTCACCGCCGTCGTCGTTGTCGTTGTCGTCGCCGTCCATAAGATGGCCCCAAGAGGGCCATAAGATGGCCCCAAGAGGGCCCCAAGAGGGTCCCAAGAGGGCCCCAAGAAGGCTCCAGGAGTTATGTACCAACCCAGCGGCCGCTGGTACATAACTCCTG